GCTGCATGCTCGCTAGCAACATCGGGTACCAGTGTACCACCGCGAGGCGCGAAGACAAGACGTCGTGGTCACACACTCATTATCAGAAAAATAATCAAAATGATCTTGGCTACACTGCCGTAGCGAAGTCAACCACCGCTACTGGYCACACTGGTATCTTGACGTGACAGCCAATCACAGACAAAAACCGTTTCACGGCAACACGGGCCACAGCGGGGTACGCGCGATTGTGAAAAAACGTTTTTAGCGGCTTTACGCGGATTGTGTCATGTGCTCATTTATTACGGTTAACAGCCACCGATACCATTCCATTGTGCTGTTACTGCCGTCCTTTGTACTTTGTAGTTTGTTTACGAAACGCCTTACATTTGAAATAACGTCCTGTCGCGGTCATCATCCATAAATAGTATCTCATCGWTTTTTGTCGTGTTTGGTTACGACCTGTCCCCCCCAACTATATWATAGTGTTGTTGCTGTAGTCTGTTTTCGTTTTTGTATTTGATAACCGTAGTGGCTGTCTGTTTCCTCAGTTTCCTGTCCAAAGAGAAAAATGATTGGCGTTGGGAACGCCGTGTTGTACCGGTCAAAAAAGGACATCGATCGCCATGTGCAAGAACAGTTCGATAAAATCAACAACGAACATGAGGTTTGTAATCTTGGTGTTGTTCACTTGGTCGAGTCTGGTTGTTTTCAACATCTACTCTGGACTGAACGATGCACCAGCGATTTCCGGTTATTAACTGTCCATCATCTTATTCTCGATAATTGAATCTCCTACATRTTGTTTTTGTTGAAATAAAAATCTCCCTAAATTCGAATGCTGATCTGACAATATAAATTATTTTCTGACACATATCAATGGTCATGTTATTAAAATCTATATTATAATCTGATATATTAAAAAAACTTATTTTATCTCTTATCTATGAGAGAAATGTATTATTTAATGCTGCGAGTTTACTTTAAAATAGTATCAATCAATTTCTCAGTATAAATTCCTATGGTCTAGGTATTTAGTACTTATGATTAAATATYACCTGTAGTCCCATCATATTTTTGTCATGCTTGACTAATATAATGCAAACCAACATACAAAACAAATTATTTTCAAATCGTAAGTTGTCCAATTCCTATCTCTTTAGGTATMMTTTACCTATCTTAATATTTCATTCGACTATTCACTTTAAACTTAAAGTATAAAATTATTTCTATGGATAAGTTAACTCTAATAAAATTTACTTAATAACAAAAGGAATTATTTAAATTGAAATCCATACTATTGGCATTCATACGTTTTTCATTTCATTTGTATTATTTTATAAGTAATTATAGACATTTTTTAAAAGTTTTATATGAAACTCACATATTGTTAATTATCATTTTTTAACTGTAGGTATTTGATAATTTTTTAGGGTTTTTTTTATTGATTAGAATTGTAGTAATAATATAAGTATAGTTGATCTCTAACAGTRCATATTAAAATATGTAGGTACCTACATATTTATATTACATTGTAGTTGAGTCATAAGATTCAAATCATCCTTCCTTAAATATAATTTTTAAATTGGTAATAAGTGTTTATCTTACCTACACTTAACAAAATTTCAAACTTAAAAAGTAATCTTTAATTATAAAAATATATTTAGTTATGATATCTGAATAATTTTAATGTTGACATATTTATATGTTCTACATTAATGTAAGAAGATGTATGCAATCTTTAGCTACTGTAAGTAGAAATTTAAAAATGATTATATAGTTGTAAGCAGTCATGTAACAATCCTAAGTGATATAGGCTTAAAATTCATTAGATAAATCCTCAAATTTAAAACTCTTAAAAAAATCTAACTTAAAAAAATTTAACTTAACACCGACCTAGAACTGTTTCCAGTCCTGTACAGTATTTTCTCCCATCACTTAGTACTCTTTATTCACATTTTACATATCCATTACACTGTACCATGTATATTATATTGTCACAGACCCATGGGACATGACTGAATAGTTCACCCCCACATTATATAGTTATTCCTAATTGGGTGGGAACTAATCTTGTTAATTGTTCGAATTAATCAATTTTTATTATTCAATTTAATTAATTTTTTTACTAATTAATAAAGAAATTGATTTATGATTTATCTAGGTAACTAATAATATTATAAAACATTTAGCTAATAATCGGTTAGTGAATAAAATAAACAATCAAGCAGCCCTAAATAAATATGCCTAAATTGACATTTCTAGGTCGAAATGTGTTATTTATCACTCAGCTTAAATT